GGTCAAAACATACCATTGAAGAAAAGGGGCCATACGTAAATCTCCGAGATAAGTGAGCAACAAACAAACCTGGGACAAGGCTGCATCACGACCCAGAAGATCCCAACAACAGATAAACCAAATGTGTAAAGCAAGAGCTGAAGACAACTAACGAGCCAACATATAGAAGGAAGAAGCTGTCCCTCGAAAAACACTCAGGATCTCGATGTATTGCCTTGGAAAGTTGATGGATGGTAGATAAATACCGTAGAAGTGAAGTAAAGGGTAAAATGAAGGCGTGAAAACTGGAAATGGGGTTAAATGCACAGAAAAAAAAAGGACTGCCACCCAAACAAGTAAAATAGACCCCAACTGCTGAGAGTCTAGAAATGGACAGTCCAGTTAATGGTAAGCTAAAGCAAACTGATTTGTAGCCCATGGGGGGCGAGGCATGCTGGAAAATGAATTTAAAGTAAAAGGCATCAGCAATATAACCATACATTATTAATAAAGAAATCCACTTCAGAATTAAAACTATTAATTTACGAAAGTGAAGTACACGAAAAGCACAAAACATCTGCCAAAACACGAGCACTGCCAAATGAGAAGAGATAGTTAAGTAGAACTGAATAGAGGGAATCACATGCACAATGAGTGTGCCACACTCTTATTGGTGGAGGATTATCGCATGAGAGATGCATCAAAATCATTCAATTCCAAAGTAGAGGAGGTAAAAGGCTTGTGGCGTGCATAAAATTTTTTTGCATACAGAGAGCAGCACTGAACGAGAATAGCTATTTATGTGAGAGGAGGTAATGTAATGATGTGGGGTTCACTACTGTGGCAAGTTTTAACAATACACGTGTTTATATATGTATCCATTACATTACTGCTCAACTTTTGGCTTTAACTTAGTGAGATAAGACTGTTATGTGCACAGATTGTTTTTATGGTACAGAACGTTAGATTGTCTAAATTTGTAAGTTGCAAATTTCAACAACCTAATGTTTTATTGTATATGAATATATTCAGTAATATGTATTTTATCCATGCATAATTAATAGGTTATTCACATTTAGAATTTTATTTTGGGGATTGTTTATTCATAGATATTCCAGTGGTCCTCTATCCAATTGGACATGCTCACATTTTATGCCTTTTCATTTTGAAGTTTTATCATGAAGTATGTGGACAGGTCTTCCAGTGGTCCATTATCCAAAGGTTTACATCCACTTTCTATGTGGCTGTTTGTTTAAGAGTTATTCATACTTACAATTTTTTCATCTTGTGGGTTTCATGGGTGTGTGGATAGGTGTATTTTAGGTCTTCCAGTGGCCATCTATCTAATGGTGTATGTCCATGTTGTACATGACTCATTTTGAGTTATTCATGCTTACAATTATATTTTCTATTTCACAAACTTGAGTTGCGGTTGGGAGTAAGAACTAGTGTATATTAGGTCTTCCACTGGTTCACTACCCAATAGTACATGTCTGCATCCTATAAAACCCTTGTAAACATTACCTAACCCTACCTTTTGTAATGTTAAGAGTTACAAATTAACCCTATGACTACCAATGCACATCACAAAATGTTACTGAGTTACATTCAAAATTTAATTAATCCTATCTCCCCATATACCCTTTACTGTGCATGACACAAAGTTTAGTGTCTTACATTCAAAATTTTATTAAACTACTTTTTGTTTATGTTAGAATAACATAAAATCTTAGCTATTAATCAATATTTTAATATTATACATGTTTTAATTTCTTAATTCTACAAGGCAATATTTAAAAAAAAATCCCGAATCTCCACTGTGACCCACGTGACACATTTTATCCATCACCCCTCAAAAATGTGTGAAATTAAACGTAAAATACTCTATAAAATCAGTATTGCTCAAACAAACCATAATTTTTATAGCCTTCAATTTTGATTGGTTACAGAGCTATCGAATAGAAAATCAGACCACTCCTGCCACACCCATCTGTCACATCCTCTCTTTCACAATTTGTTGATAGTTCTCTCTTATGTTTCATTACGTATTACCTATAACCAAAAGAAAGTCAAGGTTTTCATTTATCAAATGACATATTGTATAGTGTTGTGTTCTGAACAGAATATCATTAATTTCTCTCATAGTACAAGATTCGTTCCCATAGTTGGAAAGCCAGGAAAATTTTGAGAGGTAAGTGAATTCATCTACTTTTTGGCATGTATTATTTAATTAAATAAAAAATCAGACTTAACTGTCCTCGACAATCCAGGGCAAGAAAAAAGAAGATTGAGTAAGTATTTTATTTCCTGGTTTTCATAATTATTCTTTATTTATTATTATAAAAGTAACTAAAATCTAAAAATGTGGGTCTTTTTTAAGTTATTTAAAACTAGGTTAGGTAAAATAAGTAATAATAGTAATAATAATATAATTAAAATGGTTTATGAGGCATACACGTTCCCCGAGTGATTTACCACTTATAATGGTACGTATAGTAGTTAGACATAGTTCAAAGGGCAATAAAACAATAAAATTTAATTACAAATAGACGTATAACATTATGAACTTAGAGCTACTTAAGGTAAACGAATGTAATTTCATGTTACAATTTGAAGTCATTCTAGAAAGAAAAAAAGGTTAATTTAATTTTTTTTTTGGTGGTTACAAGATCAGTCAAATTGACCGATACCGTTTTGAGATATGTAGAGAAAATAACAGATACACCATAAAGTTTTACTGAAAAAAAAAAACGTTTGAAATGGGTTAAGGATGATTTAGAGATCACACAAAGAAGATTTTTGAGATGACGAAAAGTATTTTTAATTTTAACGTGAAAATTACTTTGCACACGGACTATTTTTTTACATTTCTTCCCACCAACATCTTTTCTTTCCTCCATTATACTCTCACATTATTTCCAAGAAATCATGTCACATGAAGTAATGCCACTTGACCCTAAACTTACTGACAAACAGTAAACTAGAAGTTAAATGGTGTCTTAATTGGATGTAAGATGTATTACTTTTTCATATTAAACATTTACTTCTATAATCTTTATACCAAATATACTCAATCTAAGTTAGGTAGAAAATAATTCAAGCTCACGCGTAGAACATCTAAAGTGTATAAAACACAGCTACTGACCTCTAAACTCTTCTTACTTTCAAACACAAATTCTCTCTGTAAGATCTTCTGGAGTCCTTGATATCGGCTAAATAAAGATTCTGAAAAACAAATAAAAACATCATATGCCATAGAAAAGTGTCACTGTACAGGCTGCAACACAAGACATCTCAAAAAGATCATTAATAAAGGAATTAGATTTTTGACACCTTGGATTTAATAAAATTTAAAAGCTGAAAACTTTTCCCTACTACTAAAAACTACAAATTTTGACATGTGTGAAACAATGTAATTTATGTTCTAGAACTAGTGTACAACAGCCCATCAAATATAATCAGGCAAGCACTACCATCCACACCCCATAGTATACCCTAATCTTACATTACAGAGCTAACTAAAATAAATACGTTTTGCAAAATCAGGCTTGACCAACAAAGCAGAAAAGTAAAGTCGAGGCAGTCAAATGTCGATAAATTCCTTTGTGATCCAATCAAAATTAAAATCATTCATGAAATAAATTTGTGGCATATTCATGTTGCTAAGCAACAAAAGTATAACCTAATATGGTTGTTAGTCTATGTACTGAAAGTATAAAATAAAATGTACAGACAACAAAACTGGTAAAAATATTTATTGATTTCTTGATTTAGCATCTCCGTGGATTAAAAGAGGTTTGTTTTTAAAAACGGTGGTGATATAACAGAAAATAGCTTAATTCAAAAACAGTTTAAGTATAAAAGTGAATCGATATTTTTACTTTCATGATAAATTTTATGCTCTTGGCTCTAGGGTAGGTGATCCTACACTACATTTTTACTTTAGGCTTATTATACCAACACTCATTACACTTATAAGGTTTCATAGCACCCTTGTCATTAAAATTGATGACTCTTATTTCAAAAAATCAAGAGTGACGTGACACACATGGGCTTTCACATATGCTAGATTACTGAACAGATTTTTACTATATATTTGCATCCCCCTCCTTCTCTAAAATAGTCATATACTTCCTGATACAATATTTTTTATTGTTTACTGTAATAATAAGTTGATTCTCCATATTTTCACATTATCTACTTGTTCTGACATTATAACCTACAAGTATCAGACGTTGATGGGCATCAGACACAGTTCAAAGGTCAATAAAACAAGAAATTAAGAAACATACATATATATATATATACATGTATAATATTACAAGATATAAACTATGTAGAATAAACATTTGTGGTTTCTTGTTACAATTTGCAGTCATTCTATAACAAAAACAGGGTAACTTGATACATTTCCTAATTTTTCATGGTGGTTACGAGGTCAGTCAAATCAACCAACCCCACACAGAGTTAACTCTCTCTACTTGGGGTCAGTCAAGGTAATAATTGGGCCATAAAACCCTAAATCACTATTAGCCAGCCATATGAGCTTGAATACAGTCTTTAACATCACTTGACACTGGAAACTGAATTTAGCTCTAAAGTATAAAGCAAATCTATTAATATTTATGATTTGTTAGTAGTCAGATACTATATTACATTGTAGTCTCGATCAAAGGATTTTTTTTAGTGTAGGTAAGTGGATATAAGACTCCATAAGCACCTGATAATTTAAACTAGTACCAGCAATACAATTTATGAATGAACAATTCGCACAACATACACAAAACAAACTTTGATCCCAATTTAAAAGAAATATATATATATATATTCACATATTAGACCACATACAATTCTATTCTAAAATCTTTGATTTTTGTGACCTTTTAATAGTTTATTTTTCAGACATGGAAAGCTGCTTACATTTTCTATGACTTCCAAAAAATACAAAAATCTCAATGTAGGTAAATTATGTATCTCCCTAATACTGATTCAACAGCAACTTACTGATTGTACTAAATAAGACTTCACAACAAACATCAAAACCCAAACACAACCAGTTTCATGCACCTATCTTCCATCATGTTAAAAACAGCAGAACTAATTAACACAAGATTTCACAGCAGACACTCAAACTCAAACACAACGAGTTTCATGCACCTATCTTCCATCACGTTAAAACAGCAGAAGTAATTAACACAAGATTTCACAGCAGACACTCAAACTCAAACACAACCAGTTTCATGCACATATCTTCCATCACATTAAAAACAGCAGAAGTAATCAAGACAAAATTTCATAGCAACCATCAAAACCCAAACACAACCAGTTTCATGCACATATCTTCCAACAAGTTAAAAACGGCAGAAGTAATCAAGACAAGATTTCACAGCAGACACTCAAAACCCAAAGACAACCAGTTTCATGTATCTATCTTCCATCAAGGTAAAACAGTAGCACCAACATAAAATGTCACAAGAAACACTCAAAACCCAAATACAACTAGTTTCATACACCCATCTTCATTAAGACAAAACAGTAGAAACTTGTTATCATCTAAAAATAGTGCTCAATATCAAGTTTAGTTACTGGAAGAAATGCTTTTTCCTGGTCTACAATTTCAGAAGTATTTAGGAAAAAAAGGCATATTATTGAACAACTCTGAAATAATATTCAACCGTACATGAGATACAACCTTTCCAAACCAACTGTTTTAGTTAGTACAATAAATTTTAAAATGCACATTCATGTTTACACAAACTAGTTTTTGTGAGAATTGTTAAGAACAAATTAAGACTCTTTAGATTTTTAAATGTTTTCATAATTAGATTTAAGTTCACAATAATTCTTACTTCTTTATTGAGCCATGCTTCCCACTTACCTAGAGATAAGCTTGATGTGCGAGTTGTAACAATAATCAAGGCCACCATGGCATAATGAACCAGAAGCTGTATAGCCTGGTTTCCATAATGATAAATAGCTAGATACGGTAAAGCTTCTTTAATAACTTTGTTTGATAGTTTTAATGAATGAATAGTATCAGATGCATGGGTGGATTCTGACTCTGAATGGGTAAGTTCTACTTTCATGTCTGATGTAACAGTAAACAGATTGGAGTGAACATGAATCTGTTGCTGGACTTCATCCCATCTTGTAACACCATCTATGAACCGAAAGAAGAAACATGTTATTGCCAATAACTTTACACAATTAAATACAGATTTTACTGATGTCAGAAAAACACATCAGTTCAAGAAGTCTTAATATAAAACAATAAAAACCTTATAACCAAAGCTTTTTCTAAAGCTGGACTATTCTTCTTTAGGAGTAAACTGTGAATGGTGGTGTAATTGAATGAGTAATATATAAAGTGAGTGGAGTGAAGTCATGAAGGGCACCTGAGCTTACTGGAAATGTTTTTATGTATTTTTCAATGTACTGTTGTTAAGTGTGTCTCATTTCCAGTGCAACACGGCTGTAAATGAAAGCCTTATGTAAAAGGGTGTTAGAGATGTTTAGCTTTACAAATACTCAAGAAAAACTATACCTAAGTATTGTTAAAGTAAAATAAAGGTTAAGCAGATCAATTTATAAAGACAGGCATGGAACATTATCACAAATAAATGGTAAGTATTAGAAAGATTAGAGGTAAACATTGAGAGTTTACACTACATGAAAAAATATATATATATTTTTCTGACAGAGAACAAACCAATGATTGGAGATCACTGATTCCAGTTCTAGATTTATTCTACAAAGTTAAACAGTATTTAGATTAAGAAACCAATAAGCTTCTTTTATTCTTATCAGCTTTAGTTTTAAAGTTGGTTTCAATGCTGATTGGAGTAACATTGTTAAGAGAATGACAGGGTTAGTTAAAGTGTTGAGGAACAGGGAGGTCTTTTTTGATGTTAATAGAAGACTTTTGATTGTTGAAATGTACTCTAAGAGTCATTTGTGTATGTCCTACATACTGGTGATTACATTTTTTACACTGTATAAGGTTAATGATGTTTTGTGTTGTGTAAGTGATTTCTTTGAATATTTTAAAGTTTCTTTGGTTATGTTTGTCAGAAAATGAGTCTGTAGTTTTTATGAACTTGCAGGTTTAACAACGAACTTTATTACATGGATGACAACCATTTTTTGGTGGGGTGTAATTCTTTTTTTCATGAACAAGGGTATCTTTTAGACTTCTGCTTTTCTGGAAGGAGACAACAGGAACCTCGAAAAATATCTATTTAAGGCAATCATTGAGTTGTAAGAGATGAAAATGTTTTTTCAGAATGTGTTCCTTCCTCTTTAGTCACAAACTCTTCCACTCTCTTATCTCCAAAACTATATCAAATCAACACTAGTGTAAATACTGCATGTTCAGTACTACAATCTTCACCTATTGATCATTTTCTCACTTTCACTACTGAAAATCATCATACACTGAACTTCAATAAAAAGTCTTTATGGACACCTTCACCAAACTGAGAACCACATTTAGAGAGTTATATTAAAGCAGTAGAAAATAACATAATACAGACTTAAAATCTTCCAAGCAATGTCCTAATAATATTAACCAAAATGAAAGAAGTTATTTAAACAATCTTAAATCGAACAACAATATCATAATAAAGCCAGCAGACAAGGGTGGAGCTATTGTTATACTTATATCACGGAAGCTAACCGGTAACTAGAGGACACTAATTCCTACAAAAAACTCTCATATGATCCTACAACTCACTTTATTAACACCATATCTGACAAACTTAGAGAACTCAATCAAAAAAATAAAACTAACAAAGAAACCTTCCAGTATTTGATACCCAGAAAAGCTTGTCCAGGTAGATTTTATCTCTTACTGTAAATACATAAACCAAACAATCCTGGCTGACCCACAATTTCAAACACAAACATGGCTACTGAAAAGCTGTCCACTTTTGTTGACCAACATATAAAATGTATTTCCTGTACCTCACCTTCTTACATAAAGGATACTACTCACTTATCATAGAAGATATCAATACCAATGGACACTTACCACCTAACGGTCGTCTTTGCAGAATGGATGTTTCATCCCTTTACACTATGAAGGACTAGAAACTCTAAAGTCCTCCTTAACCCTTTCTAACCAGTCAGAATCCCAAACTGTAACTGATCTTGCCAAACGCCTTTCACAAAACAATCAAGTTTACCGTTAATTATTCTCCTACCCAAATTAACTTTTTTGATGTCAATGTCTTTTTAAATAAAGAATTTTACACACAGACTTGTATAAAAAATCTACAGACAGACTGCAGTACCTTTACTTATTATAAAAGCTGCCACATGCTGCCTGCATGTATAAAAATGTAGATTACCACCTCATACAGAAGCTCAGATATTTCAAAAACTGGGATAAGCACTGAACATTACAGTGGAGAAAAAGAAACTGAAATATATATACGTGTGTAAAATACATGAGAAATTAGGTAAAAATAAAAGTTAAAACAAAATGTTTATGCTTCATTACAATATAAAAAGCACATACAGTTTATATTAATACATTTGTCTCTTGATAAACAAATCCAAAATAATAAATTTTTCTTTTAAATGACTTCCAACCTATAGTCCACTTAACCTTACTGAGGCGGGTCTTTCTATGGTCACAGGTCAAAGGCCATGTCATCTCATTTCTAGACTTACAATCAAAATTCTATTGAACTACAATTTTATGAATGTATGTCAATGAGTTTGGTATCAAATTGTAAATTATAATTCAAATTTTAGTGTTATACATTAGTTAATTTCTTAATTCATAAGTTAATATAAAAAAACAACCTAAATATCGTTTTACGCGTATCACGTTGTATGATAAATGCAGCATTGGTTCAAATTAGATATTTGTGATGTCCAAATACAAAGTCTATTTACTGATATTGACAAGTTAGAATATAAGATAAGACTCTCCTATTTTTTCTATTTTCTGAGATAATAATATATTTATTGAATCTTCTCTTCCATTTTTGAAAATACTTGCTTACACCTACTTCGCCCAATGACATGTGTATAACCAATCGAAAGCTCAGAATGTCCCCCTAGTGGTTTTCTCAGCCTCTACGAAGTATTTGTGCCAGAAACTTTCTTTACATGGTAGATTCCAAGCAGTAAGGTAAGACATTATTTAGCTCAAAAAATCATATCTTTTTAGGACCCAAATACTACTTAATTGCTAAAATACATCTTGGTTACTATGCTTGATAAATTATAGTGGAATTCTGTGGTATTGATGTAGTAATTTATGATTTTTTGTTATTTCAAAATGTATATATAAAACCTAATGATATTATATGCTTTTCATCCTCCATGTGCAAAATTTGAAAAGGCTTAGCAACTTATAGCAAGCAGCAAATGAGTACAAACTTCATAACTAGAAGAGATAATTGTTTCTATACTTCTTTATTTACTGTTCTACGTTTAAGAAAAATAACTGAAATTAAACATCTTATTTGTAAATAGTAATAATGTATATACTGGTCTACTAGAACACAGCCAAGACAGGTCATTTTGTAAAGGCCAGTTTTATATTCTTGGATATGGTAACATGAGTGCTGTGTCATTACAACTTCAGTAATGTTAGCCAGGCATGGCTGAAAGGTCAATAAAATAAAAATGATAAATATATATAGATGTCTAATGTTATGAGATTTAAGATATGTAGGCTAAACATTTGTGTTTTTTGTGTTATAATCTGTAGTCATTCCAGAACGAAAACAGCATGATTTATATCTATTTCCTAATTTTTATGGTGGTTATGAGGTTGGTCAAATCAACCAAACTCATACAGAGATACAATAGTGAAAATAACAGATAAAATATCAAGTTTTTCTAAATGCATATTTGATAATTATCTCAATCAATACAAAAGCCTTGTAATGTGTACTAATAATCTGACAAATTTTGTGAAGGTACACTTACTGTATTAAAAGTTATAGTACATAAACTATAACAAGCACAAAACTGTAACGAGATCGGTCCATGGGACTGAGCTCGTAGTGAGAGGGTTAACATCTAATCTCTAATAAGTATATCTATTCTTGTTTATTAGTGGTAGCCAAAACATTAAACTTTGGAACAAACACCTCTTGATTTTACAGTCCTGATACTTAAATTATACATATTTTACAACTAGCATCTGTAAAATGTTATGAAGCTGAAATTAATTTTAACATTATACAAGATCCATACCACCTACTTCAACACCTGTCTGAGTGGTAATCCATTCTAAATACACAAGTTAAAACTAAATCCAGTATAAAAAAATCTGATATATTTTAAAGTATATACATTCAGATATTATTTTAGTAAGTCTTTCACTACACAGTATCTTGGGGAAAAAAAGGATGGTCACAACAACAGAAGGTTTTACTAATTTTATTTGAATATACTTCTTTTGTAATTACTCACATATTCACTTCCTAATAACCTAATTACTTGATGTCATTTACAGATAAAACAGTTACAGCTTACAGGAGAGATTTCTCTTGTAATTTTTGTTACACGTTCATTTGTACTATACCTTGACTTGCTATGCAAGCTCCTGTTTGGTTAACTAACTCTTCCAGCCATGCTACTCGTGCTATCACACTCTCCAGAGCAGCACCACAGTGCTCTTCTCTCAGATGATCACCCATCACCAAACACACCAATGGAAAATGTGACAAAACTAGGTTTCTTTGGTGAGTTCTGATAATATTTACTGCTAGATCCATGGTTACCTGCTGCTCCATGGGTGTCAGTGAAAACTTGAACCTGACCAGGAAATGAAACATTTGAGTTCAATTTAGCCATGGAAATAACCAGAATACAATCTCCATTTATAGTAGATGTATTAAATACACATATTTTTTTCACTCAAAATCATGCTAGAAAGCAATGAAAATTAAATATTCAAAGCGCATTCATCTTTTTGGGAGTATCGAACTGTACGTGAATTAACACAATAGAACCATGAACCTCTCTTGTCAATAAAATAAAATAAAAAATTTAACATGTTTCATAAATATATGTGTTTTTAAAATATATATACTAGAAATAAACTAGACTAATATAGTAAAGTTCTTATTTTCCTACACTAAAAATATACTTTTGATAGATACTTACCTATATAAATCTATTCTCATTCAGTGCTGGCCTGTATATGCAAAACATTTCCCTATGTCACAAGCCTTGAAACTCCCACCTACCCCACGATCAACGTGGTTCACTGTGTCTTCACATGCAAATCATCATGTGACAACCCTCCACCAATAAGAGTGCGATACACAAATCTGATGCATGTGACTCTCTCTATTCGATTCTACCTAACCATCACATCAAGATTAGGCAGAAGCACCGGCTTTATGTGGAGAGGAAGTGTGAAAGGAGGTAAGTACCTTTAGGAAATATAATTTTCAGTGTAGGAAAATAATAACTTCCAACACAGTACCATACCAGTGGAGAGACTGGTGTGAGGGATATAGATAAGCCTCCTTCAAAGGAAAATTGGTGTCGATGAAAAATGTCCCTCATGAGCTGCCAAAGTTTTGGGTAGAAAAGATTGATCTGGATAAAGGAGAATATATATGTGGAATGGAACAGAGTACATGAAACATTGATGGCAAAGATATCAGACCAATGACACTCACAGACTAGAAAAGAGTAGGAAATAAGTCTTAAGGGATAGGTGAGACAGGACAAAGGTTCAATTGGAGGGAGTCAGAAACAATGAAAAACAATATTGACCCTTCACTCCAGAAGAACCACCTGACAAGGAGGTCGACAAATATAGAAGGTACTGAATAAAAGGGAGATGGTAAGAGAGGAAAACACATTGTCGTTAACAGTGAAAGTGGGTTTTCTCGGGGTACTCCTGTTTCCCCCACATTAAAATTCTCGGCAGAGGATTTTTTAGATCCCCGCCGCCCTCATGGACCATCTGTCCGATATCGGCCGTTTAGTTTAGTTTGCTTTGCTCCTCACTTTTTATTGTCTACAG